ATGAAATGCAAACTGACCAACTTTTATTAATGTTAAAAAAGAACTATATATACAAGCTGAGTTTTCTCAGCAGACTCTAAAGAAACGGCTCCACTAGCTGCCCCTATCTTTATTCCTGATTTCCAGTAACCCACTAACAGCCACTAACACCCAACTCTAACTAACTTTACTCAGAAACCCACAAGACCCTAAACGGAAATAACAACGTTAACTCTTAACCCTCTCATGTTTGGTCACGTGACTTTCTACTCCAACAAATCCTCCCCTAAACTGAAACTTTTCAAGTTTCAGTTTAATTACAAGAAAGCAGCATCACATTTTCCAGCAGCAACAACTACAACTTCAGAACTTGCAGTGGAACTTCAAAAATTTGCAGCAGTGATTATCAGTGTTTAATCTTCTCCAGAGAACCATCTTCACACAGCACCAGCTCACCTTGTATTTCAAACATCCAGCCAGCTCCACTGCTTTTAATATGATACCCATTTTGTTCTTCTCAACTCTTAACACAAGTCAGATTATTCAAGAAAGAAAACCTGAGATAAACGCTCTCACTATCACCATGTGTTTTTGGTGCCTCCAACCACACTTCCTTTCAAACCAATTTGCTCTTGAACCCTTCTCAAACAGACATCTTTTCCAATATCATAAGCTACTGCAGTAAATTTCGTGTTTGTGATGCCCAAACTCACCACTGGCTTTGAAGCACCAGAATCAATAACTCCATGCAAGGAAAACACATATACACTTGTGTTCTTCCTGTTTTCCTCATCATTCTCAAAACCAAACTCAGCAAATAACTCCTCGTCATCACTATTATAGCTAGGAGTTTTAAACCATTTCAGTTTCCCATTTCTCTTGTCCCAGATGCCACATGCCATGTACCTATGGAGCAAGCTTGCAACATAGCAGATTCCATCAAAATGACTAAACACTTCTTTAGTACTCATGTGAAACCAAATTGGGTACTCCATGTAGTAATGGTCAAGCCACACTAAATACATGAAGCTGGCAATCAAATATTTATATTCCGTTGGACCCACTTGGAACTCATTGTCAACTGATGAAAGCTTCTCTCTATGAGCCAAGTGATTCCTAATAAAGCTGCAGTAGAGCAACCGAAACCACTCAAGAAACTGATTTGCTTGCTGCTTCCTTTCCTTCATTATGTCATGATACCAAACTGTTGATGCATGTTGCAACTTATACAAGGTATTTCTCAACTCAGCACACTTATTCTCCTCCCCTGCAACCATAAACCTTTGTGGTTGCACGATATAAATCTCTTTAGTCATGTTACTATGTCCCCAACAATTGGGAAAAATAGTTGACTTGACTGCCTCTGTTTCTTCTTCTTCTAAGATACCCAGCATCTCTTCACAATGATTCCATATCTGTTTGGTCGACACTGATATAGCCTCGGAGTTCCATGTCAAGCCATGTACCTCATGAAACACCAAATCTCTGCTCGCTAATACTTCCTTAGTACTAGGGTGACCAACCTTATATGCTTTAGTAAGCACACCATTTCCTTTATCACTTGTTAAACATGCACTAGGCTTGGTAAATTCTTTCTCAATTAAGGTTTTGACTCGCTTAAACATGAGAAATGTATCTGACTTTGCTGCTAAAAGAGACACCCACTGCGTTCTATTTAGTTCATCATTCAAGTTCAGAATATACCTATTGCTGTTGTTTGATGATGATTGCACAAGACCAGCCATATCCATGTGCAACAGCTGAGACCTTTCTCTAACATTTCTTTTGACTGTTTCTTGGAAAAAACCTTCTTTGTTGTTTATCAAATTTGCAAGTTTTGTAAGTTGAGCATCTTGCTGCTGTACTTCTCAAATCTGTCAAACCTTGCCTCAAATCAGGTCTTTGCATCTCCACTGGTCCATCAATCTTCAACTGTGTAGATTGCTTATGCCAAGGATCCAGATTTTCCATTTCAAACTTAATTGCAGGTGCAGGGTTCTGAACTTCAGTCGTGGCTGCATCAGTTGGGATATGCATTTCTCGTACTGTGATTTGTGTTGGTGTGGTGACTCCAGCTGCTTCAGCTGCTAAACATATCTCTTTTACCTCCTTATCAACAATACTTCCATCCACTTCAGATGCATCCATCTCAACTTCATCAATTTGCAAGAACAAACACTTCACTTCAGTGGTTGTTTGTGATGCACCTAACTCAGGATGGATCACAAACATCTTATTGAATTTCATTCTTGTCTGAAACAAAAATCCTTTCTCATCATGGAAAATCTTGCAAATCCCACCCTTGATGAAGAAGGTCAGGCCATTTTCTTGCATCTGGCCTATGCTCAACAAGTTGGTTTTTAATCCAGGGACATAAAACACATCACTAATCACAAGATTTCTGCCTTCCACCTTCATCTTTATGACTCCCTTTCCTTGCACTTGAAGTTTAGTACCATTGCCTAACTTAACAGTGCAACTGAAACATGAATCAATAGAGTCAAATAACTGTTTGTTACCACTCATATGATTACTGCATCCTGAGTCTAGAAGCCAACAACTTCCACTCTTCTCCGGTTGCATTTCTTCTCCTTTCTCCAGCAGCATTCCGTCTTCTTGCTCAACAAAAGCCATTAGCAGAACGTCCTTGTTCATGTCAGGATGACATTTGGTTTGAGTAGGTGCAGATTTGGAGTGGTTGACTTGTTGATTATACCATTCAGGACATTCATTCCTGTAATGGCCAAACTTGTGACACTTAAAACACTCTACCATGTCACGATTCCTGAATCTGCCTCCTCTCTCCCTTTCTCCTCTTCCTCCAAATTCATGAGTTACTTTCAGTACTTCATCATCTTCTTCTTCTGTATATCTTGAAAACTTTTGTTCATGAATAATCAAAGAGCTATGTAAGGCCTCTACAGTAAGCTCTTCTATATCTTTCGACTCTTCAATAGAACATACTATGTAGTTGAACCTTTCTGTTAAAGTTCTCAATACCTTCTCAACAATCTTTGAATCTGGCATCAACTCTCCACAGTTTCGCATTGCATTTGCCACGACCATGACTCGACCAAAGTAATCTGTAATAGTCTCTTTCTCTTCCATTTCAAGCAATTCATAATTTCTTCTAAGGGCCTGCAGTTTCACTTTTTGAACTCTAGCACTACCCTGGAATTTCAATTTCATGGAATCCCAGAGTTCTTTTGCAGTATTCTTCTTAGTGATAGTTTTAAGGATTACCTTGTCAATTGAGCTGAAAAGATAATTCTTAGCCTTTAAATCCATCAACTTAGAATCCTCCAAAGATTTGAGCTCTACTTCTGACAGCTTCACTCCTGCAGTAGGCTCCTTGATTCCTTCACTTACAACTTGCCAATACTCCTTAGATCTAAGGAGATTCTCCATCAAGAGACTCCAATGTTCAAAGTCTCCATCAATTTTCGGTATGCACACTTGTGCAAAGCTGGTGCTTTCACTCATCTTGAGACCACACTGAAAAATTCACACACCAATCGCTTGACAACAGATTTCACTCACCCTTGGATTGATATCCTCACAAAAACAAACACAACAACTGCTTGACAGCAGATATCACTCACCAATCTGCAACTCACAGCAGAACTTCTCTCAATCACTCTTAATTTGCTTGAAAGCCTTTGGTTACAGCTTGCTTGAGCTCTGATACCACAATGTAAACCCAAATGAAATGCAAACTGACCAACTTTTATTAATGTTAAAAAAGAACTATATATACAAGCTGAGTTTTCTCAGCAGACTCTAAAGAAACGGCTCCACTAGCTGCCCCTATCTTTATTCCTGATTTCCAGTAACCCACTAACAGCCACTAATACCCAACTCTAACTAACTTTACTCAGAAACCCACAAGACCCTAAACAGAAATAACAACGTTAACTCTTAACCCTCTCATGTTTGGTCACGTGACTTTCTACTCCAACAGATTGATGCGATGAAGGAGATAGGGCCCATAGGGGTTGTTTGTTTTTGTTAATTTTGCATTTAGTTCTTTAAGGTTATTTAAGTAATTTTGCGGTTTTAAGTTAGGGCGATAAAATAAATTAGGGCGAGGTTTAGCCATTCAGTTGCTTAAGGGGTCGTTTGGATGGATCAATTGTAAAACGAGACAATTTGACCAATTGTTTCATTTTAAAAAACAAGTCAATTCAGATTACCTGCCCCCACCCCAGACAATAGTAATTGGCTCAAAATGAGCCAATTCAGAATTCCCCAGCCAAATTGCTACATCCATATTTTCTGCTGTCAAAACGAGACAATTGTGTCAGATTGATCTATTGGAATTCCTCATCCAAACGAAAGTTTTGTCATTTGATGAAAAATTAATTTGGTATAATTACTAAATAACAAAAAGTGATCAGGGCAAAGAATTCCATATGAGTGAGTTTTACATGGAAGAAGTAATGGAACGCCAAATTTTCTATATGTATACTCCACAATGAAAGTCCAAGCTCATGAGGAAGCACCAGGACATTCCAAATATTGTTAGGTCTCCCTTATATGTTCCGGTCTCATATCCCACTATCGTACGAGATTGATTGTGTTTCACGTTCCATTTACTTAGACAATAGATTTCTAACTTCCAATTCTATACAACAAATCACCATGTGAATTCTTGTACAAGAAGCCACCATTTTATTGAGAATTTGAGAGTATTTAAAAGTCTAGCTTATGCTAGTCCTTTTTTATGGAAGACCTAAGTTTGCTCCTCAAACAAGCCAATAAATTTTGTTAGGAATGTTGTCAATGCTTAAGGATTACAAATTATTGGATCTTGAAGATGATAGCAAGTGTCTGTTTTCAGGAATGTAGTGTTCTATGAATCAAATAAAATACTTTTAGTGATCAAACGTGAAACCTTTTAATAATCAGAGTGACTAAACTTGCAATTTGCCCTAAGAAATTGTGAATTTGTGATAGAACTAGGTCGTTTAGAACCAAAACGACAAGCCTCGTAAATTGGCCACTAGCCGCCCCACTATAGGATGGCCTTCCGGTGCCGGTGCGGTCTCTTCCGGCTTCCACCGCCTCCCTTGTCCTTCTCTACCAATCAGAACCAGAAAAACAAAATAAGAGAGCGAAATCGGCTGCTGGGTCTCGGAAATCAGAGGATCCAACCAGCCATGCCTCGCCACAAAGACGAGCTCCCCGCGGTTCGCGTTTACACTGTCTGTGACGAATCTAGGTCGTCGGCGTGCGTTTTTTTGACCCAATCTGATGCGGGAAATTCTTGATACGCGACTAATTCGATTTAGGTTTGTGCAGATACCTGATCGTAAGGAACGTACCTGCACTGGGTTGCGGCGATGACTTGCAGAAGCTCTTCGCCTCCTATGGCGACGTTGAAGAGTAAACTTCTCAACAAGAAAGAAAAAAAAAAGTTCTCTCCTTTTTCCTTCCGGTGGCGGTTGAGATGTCATTTCTTTTGTAGGCTTAAACCGATGGACGCAGAAGATTGCGAGCCATTTACAGACGTGTACTGGATCAAATTCGGTTTGGTTAGCAATGCCAGGTTATACTGCTGCTTCCCCACGGGTTCCTGTTTTGTCTAACCATATACCACAAAAGATTGGGACTTTGAGAGCCGGTTAAGGAAATTGAAGTAGTGCTGATGCAGGTTTGCGAAAAGGAAGCTGGACGAGCATGTCTTCTTGGGGAACAAATTGCAGGTTTCGTATGCTCCACAGTTTGAGAGCCTCTCAGATACCAAGGACAAGCTACAGGGCAGAACTAACCAAGTTCTTGCTCGACTCAACCGGGCTGGAAAATCTCCTATCCAGCCTCCCCATTTCTCTTCTCACCCACAATCTAACTCCAATCGATCCCGGTATGCTCTTTGCTAATGGAAACTCATGTGCTGTTGTTCTAACTTGTGTGGTTAATCTCAGCACATACAATATGTGACCCATTGGTTGGTTTTCTCTAGGGATGTACGAGAATTGGAAGGCTTTCCCCGGGCAAATGATCCGCCCCTGAAAAGGGTTTCTTCTGATCAGGTCTGCAAATCCGTTTAGTTCTTCTCTGCATCCCTTTCTGTCATGCTCGAGTGTTGAAACGAAGGTTAGTCCGTGGATACTGAATAGCGAACCATCATCTGTTCTGCTTTTAACAGGATTACTTCCCATCTCAATCCATGAACGAGACGGTTAATTTGGTCAGGAAGAAGCTCGATAAGGTATTACTGGTACATTATTTCTCTTTTCCCATTCTGTTGGACATGCACGGCATATTTGGTAACGAAAGTAACTTTGCGTTGGTACTACCACATTTGTTGTTACAGATACAGTCAAGTTCAGACCAGCAAGCTGGAACTGCACCTAAGAAGTTACGAGTGGACAACAGAAGACGAATCTAGATGCTGCTGCTTAGTCAAATTTGTTTGTGATTGTTACTCGTGCATGCCAATATCAGTGTCTCATAAACAGACGATTTGGTTCTTGTTAAGCTTTGCTTCAATCCCTGACCCCAATACACGGTTTTTAACCTACTCACAGAAACTAGACTCATTTTAAATGCCACAGTTCAAGAAGTTGTAAAGTTGCCCAATCTCTAGTTTCTGCATTTTCTATGGCAGCAGATGCACTTGCAAATCAACCTTACCGCTAAGGCTAACATCGTCTCCAATGGCAGAAACTGAGAAGAGCCTTTTTTTCCCCACCAAAGCTATATAACAGCAGAATGGCTACCTTCTTTCCATGGTTTAAAAAACAAGCACTCTTGACAGTTTTCATGATAGAGGGGGAAAAAGATGGAATAGAAACATACTTTACTCGAACTCCATTTTCCCAAAAATAAACAAGGTTACTCCAAATACAACTTTTGTAATACCAGGAAAGACCCTGCATGAGGTTTGGTTTTTCTTTTATCACAGAAGAGAGTTAGGATGACCCTTTTTTTTTCCTTTCACATTTGAGTGACATTTCAATTTTTCATAATTTAGGACAAGTATACTTGGATGCTGGTAGTTTTGATCAACTGGCATACAGGGCAAACATTGACGAACATGTCGCAGTCTATACATAGGCACAGATGCCTGCAAGGCATTAACAATACCGACACCTCCCTTGCTTTGCATGCTCTGCAGGTCATATGCTCTTTAGAGCCACCTCGCCGAGAGAGAGGCTTTGATGAAGGGCCACAACCACCTATCGTCATCTTCAGGTAGTTGTTATTAGGATCAATGCAAGAGGCAGCATCATCAAACTCACTGTCCCCAAATCCTTCTTTTACTTGATCAGCCCCCTGAGCAATTGCCTGCTGGAGATTGGTCTTCAGGACATTGGCCAGTGATTCGCTGTTCTTTGCCTTGTAGTACCAATTCTGGGCTTCTGTCGCCACTTGTTTTATTCTGTCAATCAACTCCTTGTTTCGACGGTTCATATTCTCTATCTCTATGTCTTTCTCCCGAATCTTCTTTGCAACACCCTTCTCAATAGCACCAAGAAATGAGGCAACATGTCTCTGTTTCATGTCCCTCACTCCCTTAGCCAGGTGCTCCTCCTGTTTCATCATATGGAACCATATCATCAAAAAGAATGACACACTGACTAAACAACACTTCCGAGAGCCCAAGACGTTTAACACCTGTCATTTCTTTTTAATCAATCAACAATTAGGCTATATGAAAACAGAACAGAGGGAGACATCACATCCACAAACAGTATTATACTGGTCAAAATCAATGATCCAGAGAGATGATTCTGAAGGACACCCGTTATGTTAGGTTGGAATGAGGAGGGTGGCATAGCTGAAGAAAAATATTCAAAGACAATGGGGTCTACCAAACAATACAGGCATTAACCAAGGGAGGGGACATTAAGAACAAGAGAGTACCTGAAGTTTGATATATTGATCAAATTCCTCTTTCTGGCGATCAAGCTCAGACCGAATATTGTCCCCAAGGGATGACAAGATCATTGAAGGTTTTGCTGCTGCCATACTCCCACTTGCTGAAGTCAGAGAAGAGTTTCGTTCATCGTCGTCATATGATAGTCGTAACCCAGTTGACACAGCATTAGGGTTGTTCGGAACACTTGCTGAGCGGTCAGCTTCATCTTTGCAAATGTTATAGTTCAATGAAATTTGGAGCTTTTTTTGTCTACTAAAGTCTTCTGGCTCCCTGCTTCGTTTATTGGGCTGAAGCATAGGAGAGATATGCTCATTTCCAAAATAGTTTACAGCATCAACGTTACATCCAGCTGGCACTGACAAACCACAAGTTTAGAAGATATTATCAGTAAAATATACTTTGCCAAACAAGGTTAAATAGCCAACCTAACATTCAAAAAACAAAGACACAAGCTTTAACTCAACAACAAAATAACAGCAAAGTATAAGTACTACATTAGGGAATACAATATCCATCAATATAGATTCTAATTTTGACTATTTCAATCGGTACTAGATGAAATCCCTGTTGCGGATAAAAAACAACATACTGTATAGAGAATCAAGATCTTGACTCCATTGTCCAGCCAAAACCCTCTACAAAAACACCTTGCTCGATGAAAGTTGCTTCTAATGTTCTTCACATGCATTCATAGTTACAGATATGATGCCAGGCAGCACCACAAAATAAGAGCAAGGAAGGCAAAGCTTAACTGTGATGGTATCATAAAATTGTAACTCACAATTACCAAATAACTGCAGCTGGTTTGAAGCGTTGTTCTGATAAGGAATGCGGTTCTCATCCAGGAAAACTGGAACAAGGGGATTGCCGCTATTGCCTCCCAGCATTTTCCGCAATCTAATTTATCATAAACTTCAAAGGCTTCGGATTATAAAAAAGATTCACCCTGCAAAAAAGCAGAACAAAACACTTCTAAAAATACACTTCACAAAGTTACAAGCAGCAACTAAACTAGTTATGGACTTCAACCACCGATGCTACAAGCCAATTCATAAATAAATAAAAGTTAATCTAGTTATTAAGATAAAACATGTAGAAATCCAATTATATACCAAAGAAGAAAACTGCCATATAAGTTCAGATGCTCCTAGACACGTGTCTGGACGCAAATAGAAAGGCTAAAAAACATCGATCAAGCATTGACGAATCGTGATCCAGATGCCATCGATCAGCATATAAAAAGGAAAACAGAGAAAACTAAAAGCTCGGTCAAAACGGGCTTCCACTTCTGAGCCACTAATGCTCGAGTTACGTGGCAACCAATAAAGAACAAAAGGCTGGGAAACAGCTTTGGCATCCGTTATCGTCCGTACCAAAGAACATTCCTAACCGTGTAGTAACTGTCTTACAAATCAAAATAACGCTTGCAGGTCTCACATTTCGGAAGACATTACATGCACAAGGTTGCATCCCATCAGGCACCTGATTGTCTAGCACACTATGTGCAATTAAGCTTACAGTCTGAGTCATGCACCCAGATGGAGAGGGACTTCACCACAAGTCTAAGAAGGCTGAAAACCATGCTAAAAAGTGCAGAAAGAAACAATGAGGTAAGGTCATCGAGACATCAGACCACTTAGCTCAATGTGATCAACAACTCACTTTCTCGTATCCCTCTGTGAAGGAAAGACATTTGCTTTGCAAATGATACCAGTTCCGTCAAATTTACATTCACTGATGAAATGGTCCTCAAAAGAGAGACGAGATTAAAACCCTTGAAATTCAACTTAGCAAAAATTATGTAAAACTTTGCTCGGACACTGAATAAGACTGAAACCCAGATGAAACTCCAGTTCAGTAAGTAGTAGGATCAAGGGAGAGTGAAACAAAATAACAAAAAAAAAAAAAGCGATGTCCAGGAAATGGAGGAGCTTGAGCAAGGCCTAAGAGTGAATAACGGAATGCAACGGGCAGGGTGCGGGAAAGCCTAATAATCTGAAAGATTAGATCTTCATGAAGAACCCAGCAAATCTCTCAAACCCCCAGAATTTGTCCAGCACTCTAAAAGGAAATAATCGGAAAAAACCAGCCGAGATGGCTTTCATCCATACATATACACAAACAAAAAAGAGAGGTATGTTTACCTTAAATATGAAGCACCTTTGATTTGGTTTCAGCAACAGATCCTGCAAAATTTCCATCAACGGTGTCAATGATCGCCTCAAGCAAAGCAAAAATAACGAAGAAGCGGAAATCAGAAGTAAACCCCAGAAATCAAATTGTTCCATATCCCCATACAAGCAAGTAAACAAAACAGAAAAAGATGAGACCTTTGGAATCGAAAGAAAAGGAACAGATAGGCGATGATCAGGTTATTGAGAAGATCTGAGGAGACCCAGAAATGCACCGTTGCAGATAGTTTGGTGGGCAAACACGAGAGGATGATGACGACGATGATAACAAAGACGCGGGAGGGCGGTGGTGGTGGTAGAGAAAAAGGAGGGGGGAAAGAAGACAAAAGAAAGTAGGGAGGGTGAAGAAGAATGGAGAGAGCAGATGATGGTGCGGTGGAAGTAGGGAAGGAGGCGAGGCAGGCAGAAAGAGGGAGGTGGGAGTTGATAGATGAGAAAACGGACGAAAACCCTCCCCCGAAAACAGAAAAAAAAAAAAAAAAAGAGCTACCCAACAAAATAAGAAAAAAAAAATATATGAGTAATAATGGAGAGGAGAGGAGGTAAGCAAAGCAACAGCGAGGGTGGTGGGAAAGAAAGGTCAGGGGCGGGTGAGGGTAAGTAATGGCAGAAGCCAGAAAGAAAGAAGAAGAAAGGAGGGAAATCGGGCAGCGGGCAGCGGTTTCTGGACTGGGGCTGGAAGGAACTACCTGGCTACGCAATCTAATGCGGAGTCAGTTAAATTTCTCGAGTGAGAGAGACGATGAAAAATACAAAACATTTTATTTTATGCGTTTATTTAATAAATAATGACAATAATGGAAATTGATAGGTAGACGATAGAGTGGGAATTGAATAGAGACGGGAAGGGAAGAGCTTCGAGTTCGTGACCGCAATCAACAAAGGAAAAAATGGGTCCCACTCCACTCACCCCGCGCCGTTAGATTGCTAATTCAATACAGTTCAATTCATTTGAAGGCGGAGAAATTTAAAGAGAGAGGTTACGCGGCAGCGGCTGTATTTCAGTTAATATATTACCTAATTTGTCTAAATAAGATTAACTCGATAGTCGTATTGTACAAATTAGCGAGATGTTATTTTAGTGTTACATCGTGATTTAATCAATAAATATACTCATATAATATTGAAGTTGAAATAAAATAAAATTGTTTGTGCTAGGATTGCTCCAAGCGGTTTGTGAGGCTTCACCGGCCTTAGGCGGTCCGAGACGGTAGTAGGCGGCCTCCGAAGCTCTGCAAAAAAGGTCCACAGGGGGTGCCTGGGACCTCCTCCGAAGCTTAAGTTAGAGAGAGAAGTGAAGTGAGAGTAAATAAGAGAGAGAGTGGAGTAGGTAGAAGTTACCATCAATGTAGCTCATCCGTGGGTATTTATACTAGCTGTGGTCGGTTTATGAGCATTTAATGACTTGTCGGGCGTCCTGAGACGCCTCCGACTTTATCGCTGGTACGTACCTTGTCAGACTCCGTACGGGGAAGGACAGATATCCGTTTGCCCTTATGTCGGGCGGTTTTTACCTCTTTGTCGGGCGGTTTCGTTATTACGCCAGGAGAGAACCGCCCTAGATCTGTCAGCGGGCCAGAATCGTTTTCCATGGGCTTTTAGGTGACCATGGGCCTAAGGCCCAGGGGCCTCAATATTTGGCCCAACATTTGCCCCTTAGGCGTAAGAAGCGATAGGTTTTTGCGGCTAAATGATTTTTCTTGCCAATATTGAGTGTCTTTGGGCCGCCTGGTCCATAGTACCTTATATGCGGTTATGAGACGCTTAGCGCATGACTATCCTGTTGCCCCTAGTCGCAGAAGCATGGCGCGAGAGCGCCTAAGGGGTAGGAACCGCCTCGGTTCCCTTTCGTAATCCAGCTCTTGCCACGTGTCACTCCTGTTGCCCCTAGTCGCAGAAGCATGGCGCGAGAGCGCCTAAGGGGTAGGAACCGCCTCGGTTCCCTTTCGTAATCCAGCTCTTGCCACGTGTCACTCCTCGGGTGCGGAGACCTGACACCGGCAGACGGAACGTCACCTCTGGGGGTGTTCCATTCTCGGGCTTCGTGAAAAACGTCCTGTCAGGACGCCCCTCTTTCCTTTTTCGCATTTAAGTAGGATTTTGAGGAAAATCCCCTCGTCATCCTCCCCCGATTCGTGAAAAAACCCCTCGTCTTCTTCCCCCTTCTCTTTTCAGAGGAAGTTTCAGAGGTGGTTGACTCCGGCGCCTATATATTCGTCATTCTCGGTGAGTCTCCGACTTGTTTTTTCTTTCCTTGGGTTGCGACCTTGTTGTCTTGCTAACTGGTTCGCTGTGTTTGTGGGTGATTCCGCGGCTGTTGGGGTTTTTTGGTGTCATCGATTGTGGCCTCGCTCGCCGTCACAGATGTCGGGCGAGAATCCTTCTTCTCCGACCGGCGAGGCGAGGCAGGATGCCCCGGCGACAGAGAGCGTTCCGGTTGCTGGTCTCGACCCCGTGGTGGTCGCCGGGAAAGGGCCTACGTCTTCGGCCGCGACTTTAACCTCTCGAGGCGCCGGGAAGAAGGTCGCGGAGACCGCTCCTGGTATTCAAGGTATGACTCATTCTTCTCCCGTTCGAAGCATGTCTGAGTGCGTGTGGGATTTGTCAGGATTAGAGTTGTATGTTGGAGATGGATCCGAGTTGAGAGATTGTCTTGTCGGGGCTTGCATAGACTTAGATAATTTGAATGCTAACCTCCACCCTGTACCAGTTGGGGTTGCGGCTACCTCGTCCGCGGTTGGGGATAACCTGAGGGAATTCGATCAGGTAGATTTAGATAGCATCTCCCTTGAAGATTCAGAGGAGGGGGATAGTGATGGAGTGCGGTCTGGGACGCATTTGAACGCTTCGTCCTCCTTGGAAATTTCGGAGAATGGGGAAACAAGACCGCCTCCGATTGCGATCAAAGATCCCGTATACACCGTTCTCCGTCATGCGGGTATGTGGGATGGGGAACCCGTCCCTGAAGAAGTTTTCGAACAAGGTCCCCCTCACGTAGCGGCCTTTAAGCCTGAGCAGGTCTTATACCGGCTGAAGTCGTTGCGGATGCCTTCGGATTGGGTTTATGCGGTTCCTTCGGCGAGGAGCCGCATCGGGTCCTGTCCTAACGGGTGGATCCCCATCTTGGTTGAACACATTAAGCTCGGGCTGCGGTTTCCTCTTGACGATCTTCTGACGCGGATTCTGCTCCGGCTTCAGTGTTCCTTGGGTCGCCTTTCGCCCACGATCGTCTTTCATTCCATCATGTACCGCTTGGCGTGTGAACGCCTCAAAGAAGATCCTTCTTTTGATGCCTTTAGGATGATTTACAACATTAGGGACTCGTCCAATTGTTGGTCGATCGGTAGGCGGGAAAACTCGGTGGGCTTCGTCTCTGGGGCGCCCAAGTTGGACTCCCCGTGGTACAAGGAGTACTTTTTCGCCCGCCCTTCATGGAAATGGTATGCGGGTGACTTGCAACCACCCACTGGTTATGCGGTCGGTATCAAGAGTGACTGGTCTGGGCCGGGTCCTTTTCCTCAATCGGTACGGGATCATGTGGCGAGGATAGTGGAGGCCTTCCAGTTTCGAGTGCAGCATAGTGGTTCTAACAGTGCATACCAGCTCGTCCGCGGTTTTTATGGTCAGTAGTGTTTTTGTGTATTTGTATGCTTATCTTTTCTCATGTGCTTTACTTATGCTTTCTTTCTCCAGGATTGAAGGAGTTGGCGGACGCCAACCGTCCGAGGAAGAAGAAAGCTGGGAGGACCGCCCGAACAGGAGGTGCGGCTCCGTCGGACGCGGCTAAGGTGATTGACCTGTCGGCCGCCACCCAAGCACCATCCCCCAGTAAACCGTCTGGCGAGGTGGGAGCTTCCCCCGTTGCTGCGAGTAAGGGCGCGGGAAAAAGGGTAATGGAGCGCGGCCCTCGTGAGGCGGCTGGGAAGCGTTTTAAAGTTGGCTCCTCTCATGCCAAGGCGGGTGAGAAGCTCGGTTTGGTCCCGAAGCGGTCGACCGCATCCAGCTCCGTGGCAATTCCTGCCCTGGCTGCGGTTGATACTGAAGCCGCCGAGTTGGCCCTCCATACGGTCTGTGAGCAACTTGAGATGCCAAACGAGTATACGGCGACTTCTTCAGAGAGTAACCGCCGCCTGGCCGGGACCGCATCACAGTTCCTTTTCGGGGTAAGTAGTTGTGGCTTGTTTTACTGCCTTAGCGAGTAACGAAGTTGATTATCCTACTCTTTGCTTGCAGGCGCAGATCGGGTTTTCCCAACTCATCCTGATGAACGACCGCTTGTCGAAGACCGTGGAAGATGATGCGGTCGAAATTGCAAATCTGAAGAAGAGCCTGGGTGAGGGTCGGGCCGCAATGATGGAGGAGTTGCGGCCTCAGTTTGAGAAGGACTTCGCGGACCAGCTGGCGCGCAAGGACCAGGAATTGGCGAAGGAGAAGGAAGCGTCCAAGGCCGTGCGGGAGGAGAAAGATCGCCTTGATGAAAAGTTGCAAAAATCGAGTGCTATTGAGAAGGCTTTGCTCGAGGAGCAAGATGTGTTGCGGAAGGCGATGGACGCGCTCAAGCTGGAGAAGGCGTCTCTGCTGAAAGACCGCGAGGCGGAAGTGGTTGCGGCTGGCCCTGCTTATTTGCAATCTGCTGAGTTCTTGGCCTATGACAAGGCCAAATACAAGCGGGTCGTGGGCGATGTTGTGGCCGCTATTCGCCATCTGATTCGCGAAGAATGTCCCGATGTGGCCTGGGACACAGACCGCGTTTGGGATGCGATCGGGCATTGGTCTGAAGCCGACGTGAACTCAGAAGCAGACGATTCCGCAGAGGATGATGCAGGAGATGAAGAAGATGATGGGGAGGCGGGAAGTGGTCGCTCTCCGAACATTTGAAGATTTTTTCTCATCAACACCTGCGATCAAGTTGTTTTTTATTTTGGAGAGGATGAGTGCTCTCAGACAATTGATCTTTTGTGATTGAGGTGTGGACAAGTGTTGGTGACCGCCTATTGGTGCGGTTGGTTTTCCTTTGTTTCATCAAGGGAATTTATGTTAACGTTCTCATCGTGACCGCGTTAGAGCGGATTTGTGTTCATGCTTTCGAAGTGCGTGGGATGGTGCTTGCAACGTTCTTATGGTGCTTGCAACGCTTTTTATGAAGACATTATGTTCACTCTTCCTTGTGTGCAACCGTTTAGCGGTTTTTAGATGTTAATGAGGCGGTAGTATGGCAGTGATGCCTCTCTTGTCAAGCATATGTTGCTTCCCCGCGAAGGGATGTATGAGGCTTTGGTTGCGCTATTTTGCCCCGCGCAACGCGTGTGTGGTTTTTGTGATACTAACACTAGTATTGAGGCGAAGAAAGTTGGCCGAAATGGATATTAGTGTATTTCATGAGCAAAGTGGGCGCGTAAAAGCGGCCCATACACTATTACAAGTAGAGGGTCATTGCCCTTTCTACCAAAAGATCCAAAAATGGGTGCTTGGTAGCAACCCATACACTTCTTTGCTAGGAAATGACGTCGTGCTTTAGATAACGTCGGAATGGTACTTTCGCAAGTGCATGCCGTTCCACGTCTTGG